AAATCAACTTGCCATGTGGACGATGACTTGACTGTCACATGGACATGTCACCATCCACATGGTGCTTAGTCTTTTATTTATTTAATAGGCAATAATATCTTTTCATTTCTGAACATTTTTCCCTTAAAGCAAGCATGAATAATTCTGTGCAGGCACGGGATAGAGAGAACCATCCAATTTATCTATGTGAACAATGTTACTGGTCATGATGCGCTTTTACTGTTCACAGAGACAAAATCGAATTATTCTTCTTGTCCGGTGTCCGCACAGAATAATCTCTCTAAAGCAAGACTGTCTTTTTACCTCAACGGTCTTTCTAACCCAGGTCTCCTGCCGACTACGGTCCTTTCGACCTCCGTCGCCTACTATGGTCCGTCCGACCTCCATCACCAGACAACGGTCTTTCTGACCCAGGTCTCCTGCCGACTACGGTCCTTTCGACCTCCGTCGCCTACTATGGTCCTTCCGATCTCCGTCAACAGACAACGGTCTTTCTGACCCCGGTCTCCTGTCGACTATGGTCCTTCAGACCTCCGTCGTCTACTGTGATCCTTCTGACTTCCATCAACAAACAACGGTCTTTCTTACCCCGGTCTCCTGCCGACTACAATCCTTCCAATCAAACAAACATGTATATGTAACTCCTACTATGTAATGCAATCTATATGATGTATATTTGCTACATCAATACAAGTCCTTCTCCAAAGGAAGGGCCTCATTTGTAATCGATTGCAAATACTAGTGGATTCATTAAAACTGGGCCAGACCCCGTGGTGTTTCCCCCTTTTTAGGGGTTTTCCACGTAAAAATCTTGGTGTCTCTTATGAATGTTTCACCCCCTCTCTCATCCTCTTGTGTGCTGGATCTTCGTACAATGCTAAGACGTTAAACCATATATTTCTCTACCGCCGCGAATACTCCTGGACGCAACAATTTTCATCGTCATTTTAATTATATTAATTTATTTCTTGAAATTATAAAATTTATCTTTCATTAAAATAACTGAACAAATATGACTTTTTACTCTCAATTTGATTTCACGTACTTGCAGAAAACTATTAGTTTCTTCACTAAATATTAACAAAAATCTTTAGACTTTTTTTATGATGACAACAATATGATCATATTTAATTGGAAAACTTCTTAATACTTTCTCAATAATATTTATATCTAATATTTTCTCCCTATATATTTGATTTATAATTAAACTAACTATTGCGAACAAATTTATTATTTATTTTAGATTCTTTTCTTTAGCAATTCTCCAAAATTATGATTCATAATGATACTTCAAGAAATTCTCAAACTTAATCTTGAAATTCCTTTCTGCATTTATGGATATGATAAAGAAGATAAAAGAAAATAAATTTTTATTTGGGAGAGCTTTTTCAACTTCTTTTTGGGAAAGAAAAATAGTTAGCGAAAAATAATATTTATTTGTAAGACATCGTTTTTGAATAAGCAATTTTAAAATTATGATTGTGAAAGAAACTTTAAAAACAATAATATAAAAGATTAAGACATTTTAAATAAAATCTAAGACTTCATTTGAGACGATTTTTTTACTGTTTCTTAAAGAAAATTTTCGATACAAAAATTAAACCATAAATCTTAAACTCTAAATTAAAATTTTTGTACTGCTTTCTGCAATAACATTTTATTATTATTATTATTATTTGAAAATAGCTTCATGTGAATTGCTTAGGTCCTTTTATATACTTATTACTAGGGTTTTTAGCTTACATAAATTTCAAAGTCTGCATTAGTCTAATAAAGCTAGATAGGTAAGTAGGTTTATCTTTGATACAATTATTAGAACCCTTAAGCCTATTTTAATTTTTATATCATGTGGCTTAGCATGAGTATTCTTTAGTGTTTGTCGATCTAATAATGTTCTGCAGTGTATTTCATTGAATTGACAAGACTTCTCAAGCATCCAAAGCATTAACAAGGACATTAAATTAAAGCATTATCATGCTCAGCAATAATTTCAACATGTATAGGTGCTATAGTTTATGCAGTTATCTTGATATAGGGCATTAGACTACAATAAAATAATCTTAAAATTATTTCAGTATTTTGGGATTTCCTATATTTGCTTTTATATTTCAAATTTTATGAATTATTGAGGTATATAAGGAGTCAAGGGATTATGAGAGATTATTATGTGCTGAGATATGACGCTTGAATCATTCAATTTTGTTTATGTGAACAGTAAAAGTTCAATTTTTTGTGCTTTTATTGTTCACAGAGACAAACTAGATGATTCTCTGTGTCCGGTCTCCGTAAGTAAAAATTTCTCTTGTGATTAGGGTTTCATAATTGATTTAAGAACTTAATTCAATTTATTTATTTTTTTGTTATAGTCATTTGCTAGACTTCACTTTAATACTTTTGTATTTTTACACCATCTATTAGCATCTATATCCATTTTTTTCTTATTTATTTTGATTTTTATCATCTCCTTTACTATGAGTTTGATACGAGCTTATTCATGTCATTACTGAGCTCTCATTATATATCAATTTGGTGCTAGAGTTAAATTACTTCTAATCCCTTGCATCTTAACTTTGATCTTCCTCTTCCAATGCTAGGGGTGTCAATTTTTGACATGACCCGAAACCTGATCCGAAAAAATCCGGGTTCGGGTCGACCCGGACCCGAAAAGGGTCGGATTTGGGTTCAACAAATCAACCCGTTTTAAAAATCGGGTCAGGTTCGGGTTGACCCAGCAACCCGAAAATGACCTGAAATTGATACAAAAACTCGTATTTGACCCGAAAATCGAAGATTAACCCGATTTTGACCCGAAAACTAGCAATTTTGGGTCAACCCCGGGTCATTCTTGTCAGGTTGGGTTGACCCGGACCCAAATCGGGTCGGGTTCAGGTCCAAAAACCTGACCCGTTTTTAAAACCGGGTAGGGTTCGGATTGACTTGAATATTTCCAAGTCAGTTATGGGTTTGACCCGAACCAAACCCATTGACCCAAATTGACACTTCTATCCAAAGCCCACATATAACCTCATGCATTTGCTTTGGCTCATCATATGTGTATTTTGGTCGTGTAATCAACAAATTGGCCCTCATTACTACAACATCATCAGTGCCATAATCACAAATTAGATGTCAAAGACAATCATTGCTAGTATTTCTTATGATTTGATGCCTACAAGTCTTTTCATGAGTGTCTTCCATATTACACATCATGATCTCAATGAAATTAATACAAATAGTTCCATATATAATCTCATTCTATAAGACTTAGTAATAAAAATCTCTTTCGGAGATTAGTTGTCCTAACTCCTAATGGAATAATTTCATGACATCAAACCATAATTAAGTAGTTTAAATAAAGAAATATCAAAGTCATATAAATAGTCTCACAAATTAGTCAATTAAACAAATTAATCAATCAATGTATAATTATAACAATAAAATCATATAAGATGTGATTAGTTAATACTATAGTGATTAAGGCTTCGTTTGGGATGGCTTTTTTATTGCTTTTTAAAGCAGCTTCCTTTTACAAAAATTTTAATTTTTGTACAAAAAAGCTGCTTTGAGAAACAATAAAAAAGCTGTCACAAACGAAACCTAAGTGTTAAACACAGATAAATATAATTATACTATATGATATTAGCTTACAAATTTGTAATCCAAGAGAATATATCATATAAGTGTGACACCATACAATTGAATAATTTAATAGATTATAAGATAAAAATAGTGAGTATTCAAATTTATACGACATTAGAATCACTAAATACCAAAGTCATACAAATAGTCTCCATACCCAAAAAAAAAAAATGTGATGCAAACATATTTATGTAATAAAATAATTATCACATAAATATTTAATGGTATAAAATAATAAGTAAATGTGCAATGAACGAACAAGAGCATGTTAAACCTAAAAGTTTTTATATAGTTTTACATACAATCAAACTACATTCACAATTTGAATTGGTACGATAAGTTAAACTTTTCACTCACAACAACAACAACAACATCAAGCCTTTATCCCACTACGTGGGGTCGGCTATATGAATCCTTTTTCTCCATTGTGTCCTATTAAAAGTCAAATTCTCGTTTAAATCTAATAAATAAAGGTCATTCCTAATATTTCTAACCAAGTCTTTTTAGGTCTACCCCTACCTTTCTTAACATAAGTCAAATCTAATACCTCTACTCTCTTAACCGGGTCATCGGAAGGCCGCCTTTTATGTGACCAAACCATCTAAGGCGACTCTCTCTCTAATCTTATCTTCTACTGGAGCTACTCCAACCTATTCAAATAGGCAAATTATTACGTGCGAGTCTGAACAGTCCGGAGGCAAATCCAAACGCGCCACATCACCCGGATGCACCGGGGTCGGGGTGACGTGGCGCGTCCAGATTCGCCTCCGGACGAATCCGGACACCGGACATAATAATTTGCCCCCCAAATAGGTGGCGAAACTTTCAAGCAATCACTTCCCATTTACCATCCATAAAATCTTTAATAAATCCAACTAAATCAATTTATAATAATAATAAAAAACTTGAACTCACACACTAAGCTAAATAATCTTGGACCTTAAACTTGCACTTGAGACAATTTAGGCTTCATTTGGGACGGCTTGCTTATTACTTCATAAAACAGTTTTATAATTCAAAAATAATTTTTTTTGTATATAAAAAATTGTTTTAAGAAATAATAAAAAGTCATCCCAAACGAAACCTTAGTCACAACATATTACGTTGCACCAATCTAGTCATTTGATCATACCAAATTAATTCAAAATGATCTCTTTGAGACTAATAAGGATCAATTTTATATCACAATTAAACCACGAGGGACCATTTCGAATCAAATTTGTATAGCCGAGAAATTAAATTAGGGTATTTTGGAGTTTTTATGCATCAATAAAATGATAAAATGTAACAATGAAAATAACAATTTTCATTTTCATTTTTTGGTAAGCTTTATCCCAACAAAATGGTAGACGCATGAGGTGAAAGGAAAATAAGGAAGCAAAAAGAAAAACACTTTTATACTAAGGAAATTTAGGTTTCTTTATCATCCACAAAGAAAACCAATAATAATATACAAAAGCAATGGAAATCACATACAAGAGCTGATCCTCTCTATCCGTCCAAAAAGAGTCTTTGGAGGACAAAATTGACCCTCCAAAATGTTCAAATTTTCGGCCACAAACTAGGCTGCTTCTCGCTACCAAACTACCACGAAGCTGATGAGCATACATCTGTATCTCCAACAGAGGGCCAGAAAATCTGCAAAAATAAAACAACAAGCTTAAGTAAACAACTTAAATATGAGAAATTATAAATTATGAAGGAATTTTAAAGCAGATTAAATGGATTTTCTTGCTATAACATATAATAATACGAGATTATGGCTGTATTTGGGACGGCTTTCTTACTGCTTCTTAAAGCATTTTTTAGTATAAAAATTATTTTTTTTTACTAAAAATTTGTTTTTGAAAGCGGCAAGAAAGCTGTCCCAAAGCAAACCTATATTAGCATGAAAAAAGCATATAGATGTTGATTCAGATATCTTCAGGGGAAATTGAGACATGCCTTCCAGCCTACTAAGCCTCCACAGTGCTGAAAGTTGCAGGGATTGAATTGACGTTGACACCATTACCATTGCCTGTCATTTCATGAGGATAAAAAAGATTATCATAGGCTGATCTTCGCAAAGAAAATTAGGCTTTCAAATGCAAAAATTCATGAGCAGTAAATACCTGGTGGGCTCCCGAGTACAAAGAAACATGCCCCGATAACAATGTAAGAAAGAAGAAGAACAAAACCTTTGAGATAGTGTGAAGATCCATCCTTCAAAAATAAGAAACAGAGATGAGAATATTAACAAGAATGATATTATCATCTACCTAAGGGGCGGAACCAACTCTGATTTTGAAGGGGACCAATTCTTTTATATATATATATGAAAAGTTGTTTTTTAAAAAAATAAAATTTAACTTTCAAATGCAAACAAAATGTCTGAACACAGTTGTTTAAAAAAGTTTTTTTTTCAGCTTTCAAAAAATATTTTTGAATTAAAGTTGTTGCATAGAAAAATGAGTCTTCATTACTACCATTTTCAAAGCAATTCAAAAACAGAGAATACATGCATTGAGAGAAGATAAAACATAAAATACAATAGATGATAGAGATGAATCAAGCTGTTAGAATAAGATGGCTCAAATATAAAGAGGACTGCAGCAACTACAGGTAGGGGCAAAAAGGCTTTTTAGAGGGGCAAAATTGATTTTTTGGGTCATCAAAAGTTTTCCATGCATCAAGACCATAACTGATACTGAACGTATATATAAAGTTAAGAAAGCTTAAAGAGATCTATAGCAGCAAATGGAAGTAAGAGAATAGATTAGAGTTCATTTAAAAGATCTTTAAACTGGTCATAAAAAGATTGTCATTCTACCTGTAAAGCAAACGATGTCAACAAAATTGAGACAACAAGAGCACCAGTCTCCAGTAATCTGAAATCAAGATCCATTTGAATGCCCATTATCCACGCTACAATAACGCTTAATGGAACCTGCATCGTGGATGAACAATGTTAGATCCTATAATTCAAAAGCTGAAAAAACGTATGATATGGTGCAGAGTATCAGACTATCATCAAATTCTCACCACAAACATGGAAATCTGAGTTGCTGAACCCAACGACACTCCGAGAGTTATATCCTGTACCAAATGGATATTAACTCAATAAGCTTCTTCACCTTCACTAAATCAGATGGAAAAGAACGAGTATATAGGGAACTTACTAGCTTGTTCTTGAGTGCAAAGATGATGGCACCAGCATGTTCTGCTGCATTCCCGACAATGGGTAGTAATATGATGCTAATGAAACTAACAGATATGCCCCAAGAATTTGATGCAGCCTACACATGAAGATTTATATATATTGGTTAATTACAAGGTAAGTGTATACTGTTAAGATCAGTATTGTTATGAAGGTATGTCAACTTAACCAAGAATGAATCAGCCTTATTTCGGATTGAAGTAAGACAAAATAAAATTGGATGCCAACATAAAATGCTTATAAAACATTGTGGAGAATAATGTGGGCACTTTGGAGTATTCTCCTGGTCTGGCCCTAGCTGATGCTGGTGGTGTGGGGGCTTTTGATAATGTTTTGGTTCCTTCTCAAATTGGCTGGGATGGTGAGCGTGAGGTGGATGGAGATGTTTGTCAGACTAATATGATGGTGTTAGACCGCCGGCCCAATCCATTGGGCCGGCTCGGTTTGTCTACACGCGGAGGGAAAAGGCGGACAGAGCAAGGAAGCCGGCGGAAGAACCAGGCGTGGGTTTGGAGGGGTCCGCTTAGTTTTGAATTTGTTTCTTGGAGCCAAAAGATGTGGGAGCAAGGGCAATTAGGTCCTTTTAGGTTATTTTTGAATGGTATGCATTAAGTAGGGAGAAAAGGAGAGATTAGGGGCATGTGATTTGATTGAGAAGTTTTCTTTTGTTCTTCTTGTGGATTTGGGCTCTAGATCGTATTCTAGAGATTGGGAGAGTGTGATCCTCCCCTCGAATAGAGGATCCTTGTATCTTTGCTATTTTCCTTGCATCTATTAGTAAAGTACAAGTCTTTTCTCCACATTTGCTGCAATTTTTCTCTGTTTTCATTCAGTTTTGGGCTGTTTCCCTGCTGTGGACAGCAATTATTCTTGAGTTTTGTTGCCAAAGTGGTTAGGAAATACTTGAAATCAAGCATTTCCTATAAGATGGTGGTGAATGCACTGTCTAGTGGTTTGGATCTTTCTGCCGAATCACCTATGGATTCTATTGACCCGGTTAAGTTGCCCTCTCCTGTGGGGCCAAAGAAAATTGAAACTCTTGTTGATGTTCCTATTGATATGATTTCTCCTAATGTACTAAATGCTCAGTTGGTTTCTAGATCGGGGGACACTTGTTTGGAGCAATCTGACTAGCTTGATGGGCCACCTTTATCACTTTGCGGGGCTACTGAGCATGACATGGTGGATGAGCAAGTTGCTTCGTTTCATTAGTTGTATGGGTTGGATGTGAGTCGTGTTGTTGTTAATGCCTTCTCTCGTGTTGGTAAGCGTCGTAAGCGCAAACCTAAAAAATAATGTTGTCTAGTTTTGTGGTTGGTGTGGGCCTCTCTTTAATGGTCTTCTGTGGATTGTTGGTGGCTGGGCCTATGTTGATTGAGAGAGAGAGATGCTGGGTTGTGTGAGTGTTGTTGCGGCTGGGGTATGTGGGTGGTGTGGTTTCTCCTTAGTGGTTGTTCATTTTCTTTTGATGTTTGTTTTTGGCTATTGTTGGGTTGTGCGAGTGTTGTGGCTTCATTTCTATGGCTTATCTAGGATGATGTTGTTGGCCATAGTTTGGTTAGTTCTCGGTTGCTCTTGTTTGCCTATTTCTGTTTTTCAGTGTTTGTGCAGGTTTTTCAATGGTTGTTGTGGTTCCTTTTGCTGTTGCGTTGTTGTTGATGCTTTTCTGTTTTGGTTTAATTCCTTGATTCCCTTTTGGTGTTACCCCTTTATTTTCTTTTTCGCTTTTTTATATTTAGTAGAATAATTAGCTCATAGGTTTTACTTCAAAGACTGTATTTTTAGATAACTTTTAATTCTTTAAGAACCTGTACTTTTATTATTTTATGAAACGCATAGGCCCCATGTGTGGGTTTTATCAAGAAAAAAAGTGCTAAAGGGTACAAAATAAAATTTGGTGCCAACATAAAATGCTTATAAAACTTAAAAGATCTACCTCAATCGTTCCAACAACATATTCCGAAAGAATTGCGATAACGATTGTCATGCCAACCAGCCAAGCTAATGCACTAGGGAATCCAATGACTGCTTCATCTTCAGAAACCACATCATCATTGTCCTCATCTTCCTGGTTGTTAGAAAATTGAAATTGATTCATTTGGAAAATTGAAGCATTGAGTAGGAAATATAAAACTAAAAACTAACTAGCAAGGTTTAGATCTTTGGTTATAAGTATTTTACCTCTTGTGACTCAAAAAGCTGGCGATGGGTCTTCAATTGAAAGAAAAGGTAAGCAATGTAGGCAACTAGCATAACAATGCTGCATACCCTTGACAATGTCAGTGTTGGTGAAGAAGATCCGATGTCCTCGCCAGAGCTCACAGCATATCTGAACATCAGTGGAAGCATATGGCAAAGAGCACCCAGCATCAGAAGGCTCGTGTTTACATCAGCTTGTTTCTGGAAAATAAAAATGAAAATCATGTTAAGTACAAAAAAGGAAAAAAAATTTGTGACCCCATAAAATATACAGAAATAAAATAATGCTTTACATTAAAAGTAAGGGAGATTTGCATGCATACCACTATATACTATTCTATTTACATATCGAACACCTAAAATTTTAATATTACATATATATCACCCATAGTTCACTTTCATATCAAATATGGGTGGTAGGAATGAAATATATGGGTGGTGGGAATGAAATATGGGTGACATATTTGATATTAAAATAATATAAGATGGTATATATGTAATATTAAAGTTTCAAGTGTTAAATATGTAAATAGAGTAGTATAAAATGACATGTATGTAAATCCCCCTAAAAGTAATTATGCTAATAATAAAGTATCCTTAGGTGATTTACCCGATCAAAAGTTTGCTCCTTACGGAGGTTAATAATGCCGCCACAGAAGAGGGAGGTGCCAAGAACAAGCAGCAAATTGGAGAGGATTGAGCCAATCAGGGAGAACTTGACAACGTCAATCTTACCTTTGTACAGTGCAAACAAAGCTATAATAAGCTCTGTTGCATTCCCACATGTCGCATTTAGTAGACCCCCCACTGTAGCAGTAACAAAATAGTTTTGTTAATTTATTTTTACATCTACAATAGGTGTATGGATGTAAGTAGTTTGCAAAGCAAAATGAAAATATTATGTACCAGTAGGGCCAGTGTAGAAAGCAATTTGCCTGGAAAAAAAAAAAATCAAGGCAAAAGGCAAAGAAGATGAGAGTTATTTAATATGAAATACAAGGAAATAAAGAGGAGACAAAAATGGACCGATATTGAAAACTACCCATGCAGAAGCAAAACAAATTAGTCTGCGCATTTCAAAGGAAGAACAGCTTTGATTGAGCAGCTAAAAACAAAACTATAGCTTAGATTTGTAAGTGACGTTAGATGACAGTTGTGAGACAAATAAAATTACATTTGTGGCTAAGGAGAGTGCTCTTGCTTTATACTTGATGATTATGATTTCTTTATTAGTAGATGAGATCATCTTTATTATTGTATGTCCACAGCTATAGTTGAAACCAACAACAACAACAACAACACCAAGCTTTTATCCCACTACGTGGGGTCGGCTATATGAATTCTTTTTCTCCAACAGCTATAGTTGAAACCAAACTACAAAATTCTTGGTGTTTCAAAGGTGTTTTTTTCACTACTTTTTTATGATTATTTCAACTAGATCAATCTCAGTGATGCCTACATATAATAAAGTTTGACACCCTGGTTATAACAATAGGGAATCAAATTTCACCAAAAAGTGTATTTAAACATATATTACCCTCAAGTGAGACACTATTACCCTCAAGTGATGAGCATGTTGATAATTATTTTTAAATAGATAACTATCTTTTAAACATAATTATAGCTTGTTCTAATTATTTTTATCTATTAAACATATGCTCATTTTTATATAGACCTTTAAGAAATTCTCATTGACAACTTGAAAATAATATATATGCATAAAAAGTTTCATTATAAATTGTCTAATCTCATTATTATTAGGTTAGCTAAATTGAAGATGAGCTAACCTTTCATTTTTATTTTTAGTGATATATATATATAGTGATGAATATTAGTACATTGAAATCCATTCTAGACTAATTATAGAATAAAATATAGTATAATAAAATTGAGTCATAATCATATTTATGATTAAATTTTATATTAATTGTCATATTTTAATTGGATAATTAAAATATCTTTATCCTCACTTAAAAAATGTGATCATCATTTGCATGATTGAAATTATTTCTAGCAAAAAAAATATTTAGAAAGAATATCATAAAAAAATTTATTGAAGTTTTTAGTCCAATCATGAATTTATAAAATTTGCAACGAAAACTTGTGTGCATGATTTTTTTTCATGTTATGAATGAGAACTTCCTAAAGGCCTACACAAAGATGAATATATTTTTTATAGATAAAAATAAATAGAATAAACTATAATTTCTTTAAGTAATATATTTAAAAATAATTATTAAATAAATACACTAACCTCGTTAACTCAATGTTTAGGAAGAGAGGTAAAAGAAAAGCAATTAAGTAAGTTTTAAAAAATAGGACAATGAAAAAAATGGGATTTTTAGCTTAGATGCAATCCCCATTTTGAAGGAAGGATGATTTCTCACCAAAAATTTAAATGCCAATTGCACCGCATACAACAGCTTGAATTTCTTATGTTGTGCGGGTGGAAGGCAATAGCACTAAAATGCATGTGAAGCAGATAGAAATTTTTGTATTTAGGTTAGAAAACACCTATCAGGTAGGCACTTTCATGAAAATGCCTTAGACATGGGGACTTTCATGAAAATGCCTAACTTGAAGGTGTTTTCAAGCTATTATGAAAATGTCAGGCTCCAAATCATTTTTACTCCTATAGCCCTATTGAAATTATTTCTTATTGTGAACCAGTTGCTAAACTATAAGGGCATCTCCTAATGAAAAACTCAATTTTCATTCCAAAGTGCAGTAATACGCAAAATTGTAGTAACTAGTTTCTAACTGAATTCCATTTTCTAACACCCAAAAGAGAATATTCTGTGTATATTCCTTCTCATAATTTTTTTTCTAACCTAATTTTCGAATTAAAAAAAAAATAGCGTGTGAACAACGTTTGTTCACCCTCACACGAATGGCATTTTATTTGGTTGTCGAATGGAGCAAATCAGCGACGCCAAATGAGTGTTAGGCATTCGGCTGGAGACGCTCTAAGTTAAATATTCTCCTTCCTAAAATTTGGCCACATAGAAATGGTGTGTTGATTTATCTTGTGTTGAAGGAATTTCTCTAATTTGTTTTTCTAAGCATGAAAACAAAAGCAGAAAAACTACAAACCCTCAGCGCACTAATACTGGTACTTAACTGCTTAATATAAAGTTTTAACTATATTTTAGGGCAGGTTATATGCTAAAGGTCCATTCATCAATTCACCATGAAAATCTTCCTTGCTTTGTAAAACAAATTTTTAAACAAAATAGAATATAAAAATCATTTATGCCATGTGTAAATTATTTTGCTATTTTTTTATTTAAATTTGTCTTGTTTCGTTTTTTTTTATTCACATAAAACAAAATTCATGTTTGTATGCTCTCGGTGTTTCTAGAAAAAAAGTATGTAGAATAGAAATAGAAGACATAATTAATATTATATAATTATGATAATAAATTCGACTAACACATAATTAGAACTCATTATTCTAATTAAATTTATTTATAATTTATGACTTAATTGATTTATTATTTGAAGGATTAATGTAATTTTAATTTTGGTTTGATCAATTTTATTAAAAAAATCAAATTTAAAAAAAAAAAATCAAGTAAAGTCAAGATTATAATCAATAACCGAACCAATACTTTAACAATCAAACTAAACAAATCAAATAAGATCAATTTAATTCTATTTTTCAACTTTATCCAAACAAAGAGCACCCCAAATAATAACATATTAATAATCTTAATTAATCATCAAATAGCTTATATTATTATTTAATTACCAATTTTTCTTATTAATTTAAAATACATTAACTATTATCACATAATCACTTTTCATAATTTAATACTTATAATATTAATGATCTTAATTGAATTCTGATCGCTAATCAATCTAAATATTTAACTATCATCTCGGTAAATAATCAATTTATTTATTCTACTATGCTAATCATTGCAATTTTAAATAATAAAAATTTAATGATCCTACTGAAAATCCTGATTGGTTTGTATATTTAACCGTAATAAACAGTTACTGATAAATTATTTTGTTCTAGACTAAATGTAACTATTAAATACCAATTAATAAAACCTTTATGATTTAACTTATAACTATATTTGATCACAAAATGGATTAATTAGCCTTTCAATTAATCAAAACTGCCACCTAAACCAATATCTAAAATACGTGAGAGCATCCTCATATTGTTTTTACAAATTTTTTACGAAGCCATTTGTTTCCAAAAACAAGAAATGAAAATATTATTAACAAATATTTTTTCTTTGACTAACTATATACTTTTAAAAACATAAAACAAAAAATAGAAAAACAAGTGGGCATAACTGATATTGTTGGGATTTCTTGGAGGAAGAAGAAGCTCTTCTTGAGCTTCTTGGAAGAGAGGGAGAGAGAGAGAGAGAAGGGAAGGAGAGAGAACTGAACTCAAAACTAATCTTTATTGCTTGGCTTGCGCGCTATATGGCTTCACTTGGGTAAAAATTTTCTTCTACTTATAGAAGAAAGAAACTACTAAGCTAACATGATTCTAAGGAACAACAATTTTAAAACTGGACCAATTCCTAACTGATCTTAATTGGTGAAGATTTTGAAACTTAAAGCCATCATCAATCCTGAAAGCAAAGTTGTCTGGATTTTTATGTTTTAGGCTTCCTTTGAGACCGTTAATTTTCTTACTGCTTCATAAAACAACTTTCTAGCCAAAAAATTAAAACATTTTATACTAAAAAGCTGCTTTAAGAAACAATAAGAATGTTGTCTCAAGCGAAGCCTTAACCTTGTAACTAACCAAAAAAATAAAAAAATAAAAAAAACAAAAAACCTCATACCTAACCAAACTATAATCCATAATGATTTATCTACATAAATAATCACACAGCAAAAGTAAACAGGATGATGATATGAGTCAGGCATGCGTAACATCAAGGATGTTGGTTTGCAATAATTGAAGAATACTAAGCTAAAAACACGTTGAAAAGGCTGTCAATAAAAAACTCATCTGAATATGATAACCGATGGTAAATGCTAAGTCTACATCACAAAAAGACAATATCGACAGAAAGGAATCTTTAATAAAATTATATAAGCATGCTTGTTCTGGATCCCAGTAGGTAAAAAAATAAGGGCAAAGAGCTTACTCAGTCAAAAAGCTAACTCGTTCTGCAAGAGGAGTGAGGCCTAGCAAACTTAATGTAAATACCCATGCCTGCAAGGAATTAAAACTGTTAAGATGTTTGGCAAGAAGGTACTCAACGAGTGTAGATTTTTTTTTTTGAGAACCTTAATCATACTTAAAATAGAAAAATAAATCAAAGCAAATATGATTAGATTTAAGTTGATTAATTTACGGGCAACCAACAAGAGAAATAAAATATATACGGTTCATCTAAATTCATCTAATTTTGCAGATATCATGAGGTCCTTTCATTGACATTGCAGTCACTAAAGCACAAATTAAAAGTAAGAAAAAGAAAGCGTGGACAAAATGCATGTGCAATCATCATACGCTCATACAGTCGTACACATAGGAGGACAACTGATACAGTAGCAAGAGAACAAAAATATGCCCGTCTCCAGTGCCGATGACCCCATTTTGCATCCTTGCAGTAAATGATTCCTTCATTTGGGACGGTTTTCTGGTGGTTGTTTTTTAAAGTAACTTTTTTAGTATAAAATTTAAAATTATGTACTAAAAAGTTGCTTTAAGAAGCATCAAGAAAGTCCTCTTAAACAAAATCTTAATTGATAGTCTAAGCTCCTAACCAACAGATCAAGATGAATTATGTGAAGAATTATATGTCAATTACTATTTTAAGTTCATAATGTTAATGTAACTTATAATAACGCCCAATTCGACGGATATTAGTACTCCAGCACATCGATATCATTTAAAATATTTTATATTAAAAAACAAATCATATAGCATAAAATTAGAAAACAAAAACCAGAAAGTCACAGACTCACAGTCATACCCCACAACCACAATAAAACAGTTTGTGGTGCTATAGTGCTTTGATTGAAACATATGACTCGGATATTTTAAAAAATACATATGATATCATAGGATACTGCCAATGTTATTCTCTAAAAAAAACAAGAGGAAAAGGTGGGAGGAATAAATCTTAAAATATTTTACTCAAATTCATGAACTTAATAATAAAAATTCCTCCTTTAATCAATGAATTATGGGTCCTTTCATCAAAATTTCTTTTTGCCTGTTCTCCTTTGTTATAGATTTCAAATGATGGAGAGTTACATTACTTGCATTAGATTCAAGGGCACTTTAATTAATTAATATTTATTAATAAAGGGTTACTAGCTTTGTTGGTAGTATTCAAGTGGATTGGGAAAGGAAAAATTCGCTTTTCCTTTCTGCTCTAAAAAAAAAACTTAATAGAACAAACGAAAATCAAAGAAGGAGCCAGTATGGACTCACGCGTCCGAGGCCAAAGCTTTGTGCGACAATGGCGAGCGGAACCGCCGGAAACAGAACGAAAAGCTTCGTCCCGAGGAAAATCTCCTGTAGGTTAGCCAAGAAATTTCGAAGAATCTCCCACCGAACCTTGGAAACGAGCGTGACGTCCGATTTCTTTCGAAGCGAAGAAGACGACATGTTGTGCGCGGTGCGCCCGTGTCCATGGCGCGTCTCCTTGCTGAGCCCACTGCCGACGCTGCCGGGCTTGATAAGCCCTGCTTCGAGCCCTCCCGCCACGTTGTTGCCTACCGAAGCCATAGCCTCCTCTTCAGAGGCAATTCCTCGAACAGATGACGGGCAGGCGCAGAGGCACCCAGCAACTTCTTCGCTTATGACGTGAGACTGTACACCACCGGCTGATGTTTCTATACTCGGTGAACGGCAACTGAACGGCGCTATATAATGCCGAGTAGTAGAAACGGATCAAATAAGAATTTAATTATTGCGGGAGCGGAGGTTTCCGCGAAGGTTCGTTGATGCCTAATCGAGTGGTGAGGTGGAATCCACGTGGATATTCTTCCCCCACTTCTGATTGAAAAAAAAATGTGAGAATAAGGAGAAAAAAATAACAAAGCTTCTTGCAGGGCGATTTTTTTTTCTTTAAATCTATTTTTTAATATAAAAATTAAAAATTTTATACTTGATATATTCTCAAAAAATTATCTAGATTCAAGCACGAATCTCATGGCGAAATTGAATCGGAAACTTCAAAAATTAAATATGTGAGCTCCTGAACTCCGATTTCAGCGAGCTTAAAGTCAAACTGATCATCTCGGAAATACGAACACAACGATACCAAATTCAACTCAATCCGAGCCCAAATGAGCCCAAATCAAGCACCCAAAGTGCTGTTAAAAAGCTCATACTATAATTTTAGTTACCAAACGGTCTCTGATTTTAACGAGCTTATAGTCAAATCGAAGGGCTCGACGAGACAAATCCAACGAGCCCAAGATTACCGAATTCCGACATCGTTAAGACCTTCAAATGTCTAATGGACGGTGCACAATCAAGAGATTCAATATCGATCGTCCATTCGACCACTCCCAATTTGCCCTTGATCTCACACCTATTTACGAGCTATGACACTCCAGAAAAACTTTAAATAGACCCCTCATTTCTCATGAGAGGGGACCCAAGCAGGAAGAAGAAGAGAAGAAGAAGAGAAGGGGAAGGAGAATCAGCTCCTCCTCGACCACCGCCGGAGTTCTTTCCGCCGCCTGAATAACGCCAGAATTATGCCGGATATTCAGGTGACGCCGGAACTCTGCATAACTTTGTAACTGAATTTCAATTCAGAAGAAACTCATTGTAATCTGATCGTCCTAACTTGTGGGACGAATCAGCCTCTTGTACCTCAAACTACGCTAGTGGAACTTTTCAACTGGGCGTGACCCCATGGTTTTTCCCCTTTTTCGGGTTTTCCATGTAACAATCCTGGTGTTCTTTTATCTCCTATTTGTGTGTGCTAGATATTCATACAACACTCAGAAGAAAATTTTCTAACTCTACCTTCATGTATATTCTAACCCGCAACAATACTAAAAAATTATTTTAAGAATCAATAAAAAAGTCATCTCAATGCTTCATTTGGGACATCTTTTTTCTTGTTTCTTGAAGCAGCTTAAAATTTGTTTATTAGAAAGCAGCCTTAAGAATAAGTAAAAAAGGTTTTCCGGGTCGATTTCTGGAACCCGAACCTGACCCGTTTTGAAATCGAGTCGGGGCCAACCCAGATTTTCCGGGTCGGGTCCGGGTCGTGTCAAATATTGACACCCCTATTAAGAAGTAGTAAAAAACATTCTCAAAAAAATTCTAAGGCTTGTTTGAGATGGTTTTTTTATTGCTTCTTAAAATGAATTTTTAATTTAAAAATTAAAATTTTATGCTATAAAAATGCTTTAAGAAGCACTAAGAAAAGAAAGCCGTCCCAAACAAATCCTAAGAGTAAACTTTTTAATATAATCGTCAACTTTTAATTAATGAGTAAAAAATTCCACATGTGAGACAATTTTAAAAAATAACGGCAATAATTAATACAAATACTTTTAAAGCATATATAAAAGAAAGTAAATATTTGATTATAAAGATGCATTTAAAAATTGTCCAAATAATTCATTGTGCAAAATAAAAAATATCTCATCACTATATAGTGCTGATATTATTATTTTTAATGTGAATGATAAATCATAAACTATTTGGTTCCAATTCATGATGAAATAGTTTTCTCCAATATTTATTGGGTCGCATATCACCTTTTGTTCATCCTATGCTCAATGCTCGTAAGCAAATATTAATCATTTAAGAATTTTTTAATATATATAAATCTTTATTAATACTTTATCAAGAAGTACATCAAATTAAACACGTATCTTGATGCAACATTTGAGTTTAAATTTTGTGTAGTTAAATTTAGGACCACTCAAGCTTTAATTTCAACAAACTTATAGTTGAATTGAATATCTTGACATGACTAGCTAAACCAATTACGCAAAAAGCAATGCATTCATAGTCCAAAGGAATCTATATTAAGCACTTGAACTCTTGAAGTATAGTTGATAGCTTTAGAATATTAATTTAAGGGCTCAAGATTGTTGATTTTTGTATGCTTATATTCAAAATGAGCTTCTCGAAAAGAAAAAAAATCAACAAATCTAAAATCACCATTTTGAAGTCATAAGGCACTTAAATGTTAAAGAACTGTTTATAATTAAAGGAATCGATGTAGACTATCTAATGATGCAAAAGCACACTATCATTAATTACACTAATACATGTTATTGCAAACAAGTTAAGTGATCACAATCAATACCAATCCTAAAGCATGTTTTCAAGATTGATGCATATCAATGATACCAACATCAGCACATGTCATTTCCAGCAAAACTAATGCATGCCCCTTGCACCAATGATGACACTCATTGACTTTATCATCCACGATCTCTAACAAAGCTGGTGGATGATGTTGACACCAATGTTGATGTCCACCAACTTTGTCACTCTACTTTGCTAATAACTTTGACGCATGTCATTATCTATAAGATCGATGCACGAAGTAAAAAATAATATTAATGCCTAACAACTTTGGCCTTCATCATCGCCAATAAAACTAATGCATATATCATGGACATTGACATCAATACACCCCATCATCAACAATTACTAAGGTTTGACATTAACACCAAGGCTTAGATTTCTTGGTATTTGTTGTCTCTTCATCTAAGGAGAAAGATTGAAGAGGCCAGTAACAATTTCTTAAAGAAAACTCCAAAACATCAAAGCTTCTTTAAAGTGTTAACACATTTTTCAATTACGAGGAATACAATCGTATATAACATACAACATACATTAGTAGGATTATTTCAATTGAAACAGATCCCCCAATTTGTCCCCCTTTTTGGATTTTCAGATAAGAAAGCATTGTCTCGTGTAAGCTACTCTCAATTAGTTTTATCTATACATATTTGATCTGCATGCAATAGTAAGATGATAAACTTTCTCTTTATTACATGAAAATTACAACATACAACCATATTTATTAAGTTTATGTCCTGATAATGAACCTAGTTGTCATATCTCAATGATCTAACTCTAACATTATAGAAGAAATAATAAAATTCAACCCTTCAAAATTGATTGGTATGCTCAAATTTGCACGATAATTTTTTTTTTTTAATTTAATTTGAAGAAGAGATGCAATTATTTTTGGGTTTATGCATTATTTTTGCACAATTCCATAACTCCTCAGAGGGTTGATGTAAAGCATACACGAGAAACAAAAGGCCCACCAATGACCTAATAATAACATAATATATAATACCCACTAAATACTCATTATACTATTTCTTTCATAACATTCCAAACTACTTCATAATAACCTTGCCCTTAAGGTTGAGAAGATCAAAACAAGATTGAAAAGGAGGCATTACTTATCGATAGTTATGAACTCGGTTTGCATGGAGGCGGTCAGATCAAGGAATTGTTAGAATGGAGGCTACTGGGGGGTAGCATATATGCCTTGGAGCCAAAAAATGCTACATAAGGATCAAATCTATGTGAATTGTAATGACAAAGATACAAGGTAAAAGTATGATGAGGTGGGAAGGCTAAAGTGAGATTTAGGTTAGACAATGGTGGGGGTTTGAGCTAGAACACAAGCATGGCTAAATTAGATAACTTGTGTTACAATAAAAATATAAAATGATAAGAAAAAGGTGAATTATAGCATTAAATGAGGATAAGTAGTTAACTTGTAGCATGTTTATAACTCTTGGTTCATGGCGGGAAGGAGACTGAGCAATTGTAGTATATCCAAAACTTTTGGTATTATTGGAGAGAGAGGGAGTGAGCCAAAGGCTCCTTACTTATTTATTATTATTGTTTGATGCCCTAACTTCTAAGAGGGCTTATTTATATCATACAAGAGAAATATAAAACCCACTAATGATCTAATAAAAATCTAATACATTATTTCTATTAAATACCCATTATATCATTTCTCATTTGCCACTTTATATTGCTTCCCAAATAACAAAATAAAAAAGGTAAAAATTGATAAGTATTAAATTATAGCAAGAACAAAATTTCACTTCCCTAGGCACACTGCAATATAAAACAAACTATATATAAATACTAATTTTGGCAAGAAAAAACATCTTATCTAATGTTTATCGTTTACTTTTATTAATAATCAACAACAACAACAACAACAACATCAAGCCTTTATCCCACTACGTGGGTTCGGCTACATGAATCCTTTTTCTCCATTGTGTCCTATTAAAAGCCAAATTCTCATTTAAATCTAATAAAGAAAGGTCATTCCTAATATTTTCTAACCAAGTCTTTTTAGGTCTACCCCTACCTTTCTTAACATAAGTAAAATCTAATACCTCTACTCTCCTAACCGGGTCATCGCAAGGCCGCCGTTTTATGTGACCAAACCATCTAAGGCGACTTTCTCTAATCTTATCTTCTACTGGAGCTACTCCAACCTTTTCACGTATATGCTCATTTCGTATCCTATCTCTAAGGGTAAAGCCACTCATCCACCTAAGCATCCTCATCTCTGCCACACTTAACTTAGTATTATGCTTCTCTTTTTTTAAAGGCCAACATTCGGCACCATAAAGCATTGCAGGCCTCACTACCATCTTATAGAATTTTCCCTTAAGTTTGAGGGTACATTTCTATCACAAAAAAAATAAAAATTTAGCATGTATTACCAAAATTTCTACTAAATAGATATTTATGCTCTTGAAGTGATATTAATGTCATCAATATCAAAATTATTCCTCCAATGTTTGCCCTTATTAATTATTTTCCTCTTATGTATTATGCTTCTTACAATCTTTTTTATGAGTAGCTAGCTATTTATCATTTTAGATCTAA